AGGAGCCCCTAGTAGCGTCCTTGCTCCTAGTAGCGATGCCAGGAGCCCCCAGTAGCGTCCTTGCTCCTAGTAGCGATGCCAGGAGCCCCTAGTAGCGTTCTCGTTTGCATACTAAACAAGATTAAACAAGCCTCGGTGTGGGGGTTGAATGGTGATGCCGCCCGCGGTGATTGATGCCCTCTGCTCCATCGAGGACCCACGACTGGGACATGTCCTCCACTCGGTGACCTGAGGGTGGCATAAATACAGTAAAGCGCAGTTGCATATTTAAATACATATATAAATACATTACTAAACTTAAGTTGCTGCAAAGCAGAGCAAAGCATGGCATACAGAATCAAATACCCATGCATACTCCATGTGCAGGAATTTCCTGCCCATACCATGCAACACAAACTCATGACAAGCTCATCTCACCATCTTTTGTTTACTTGCTTTCCAACTGACCGTGATGTATCAGGAGATGGTGACGACTTTGGCGAATGGCCCGTAGGTGACTTTGGCGATCCTGAGAACTAAAAGAGAACCTACACTTCCAGGCAGCTATGCTATGCCTACTTTTTGATAGTTCAACTTCGATGGCGCTGCCACATGTCCTTTATGAGGTCAGGAAAACTCAACCACTTCACAGCTGAAAATGCCTATGAATATCTATGAATCCTATCAATTACCCAAAACAAATGCTGTTACATTGCCTTGCAGTACACTGCCTCCGTGCAGCCAAGTCACTCCCCCTGACTGCGCTCCGGCTGGAGCTCGCCGCCGGTCCAGCCAGTCCGCTACGCTCGGGAGAGCCAGGCGACACCTTGGCCTCCCTGGGAGACTTTGGCTTCTCCCGAGGGCTCCTGAGAGCTTCTCCCGGACGAGAAAACACGTGTCAAATGTGGCCAATCAAGAACCAAACATCAAAAACCAAGTTGGGGAATATGGATGCAGGCCTCATCTGGTTCTAAGGATATATGATCTCTCTATAAAGGGCGCGGCACAAAGTTTTACACTCCGTAAAAAATAGAAAGTTGCGCCATCTACCCACCAAAAAAGTGTGGAGAACTAGAGGCAGGTTCCACACGGAGAAAGGGATAGCTGCCATGGCCAGCTGGCAGCTAGTGCAAGAAAAAAACCTGTCAAAAGAGTTGGGCCATCTACTTCTCAGCTTTATGTTGCCAAATTGATGAGTGAACGAATACTTGTATAAAATAGCCAATAATTGCAATAAAAGCTGTGTTTTTCCAAAATTCTCAAATGTGCAATTTCATCGATTGCTTTTGCTTCTGTCTATCGGGGCTTATATGCCTTGCTGCCCCATGTGGGGAGTAGATGGCGTAACGCCGGTAAGGCCCGGTCAATATTCCAGGGCCACTTACTTTCCAAAGAGAGTAACCAGAATGCGACCCTTCAACCGGAAGGTGCACTGCATAGCTGCTCATGTGCAACTGGCCGCAGTGCTCCAGCACGTATGGCATTCGGAGTGCCTTCAAGTGCTAAACTTCATGGAGAGGAGAGCATACAAATGATCTTGCCAGCCTAGAAACAGCGTCAGCCGGAGAGCTGGAGGCAACAATACTTCCAAAAATGACATCTCTGTTGTCCTGGTCCTGCTTTTTCGGGGGGGCATCCTCAGAAAGGGGTCGCAAAATGCCAAGGATCCACGGCTGCCAGAAATGAGGCGAAGGCCGCACGTCACGGTGGGCCTCTCGGGTCGACAAGGGTGCTCGAGCAACCCGCCGCTGGGAAAGCCTGGGAGAAGCTCCCCGAAGCACACCTGGGCGGCTGGGTGTCGACCGTCGACCGGCGGCCTCAAGGTTTGGGGAAAGGTTGGCCTTGCAACTGGAAGCTAGTAGTAACAAGTGCATCGCTAGTAGTAACAAGTGCCTTACTAGTAGTAACAAGAAGCTAGTAGATTCTTGTTACTAGTAGTAAGAATGCTCCTAGTACGACAATGTACGACAATTACATGCAACATCCTGCAACAATCAGGTTGGAGAGGGCTAGCAACGGAGCAGGTGACCTGCATACAAGCGATTTCTGGCTCACAAACACCCGTACAAATTCAGTATGCAAAGCAGCTCCGAGCTCAGAAATTCTGGCTCACTCACTTCTTCGCTCACCCTTTCATGTTACTTTGGAGAGGTCGGTGGAATCATCAGTACGGAACCAGGTACCCACGAAGCAGCTTTGGAGGGTAGGTTCAATTCAAGCAGGTTACATAGATACAGAGATTCACTAGTGTGGACATCCGAAGACTTTACAGGATTGCAGAAAAGTAAAATTCAGGCGAAAGCAAGAGAAATGCTTTAAACGTCTTTTTGGAGGAATGCTCCACCAACCTGGCCGCGTCTTGTCAAGTTGTCAAGGCACCGCTCCGAAGCCCCGGGCTCTGAGACCTTGCTCGCGAGGGCTTTGCAAGAAGCAGGACAAATCCCGGAGGAGGACGCGAGCAAGGACGCTACTAGGAACTAAGGGCATCGCTACTAGGAACAAGGATGCTACGAACGGGGCTCCTAGCCGCACTACTAGGAACAAGGACGCCCTTTGGAGGCCATCGCCACTAGGTTGGGAGGACCGTCTGGGAGAACTGTCTTTCGTTCGAGTAGATGGACGACGTGGGTCAGCATTCTGATGTCTCTTCAAAGCCTTGAAACGGACATGAATAAATCCGCCGGCCTGCCGGCGTGTTTTGTGGATTGTCTTGGTTAGTATAGTTTGTCTTGGTTTCAGCTTAATGTTTGTCTCTCCGCGCGGAATTTTCGACAGCCTGACGCCCCCCCCCGCCTTACTTTTAGTAAAAAAATCATCTTCCCAACTCATTTTTCTTCTTTTAATGTTGAGGTGCTCGTACTTTTAGTAATGAAAATCATCTTCCCAACTCATTTTTCGTCTTTTAATGTTGAGGTGCTCGTACTTTTAATAAAGAAAATCATCTTCCCAACTCATTTTTCTTCTTTTAATGTTGAGGTGC